TTTTACTTAGTTGGAAGTCAGATGACTTTTTTCTGTATTGTAATTTATTGAAGAAGTAATCACCAGTAAATATATAGTTAATCAGGAACCATAAATGTAAATAATAGATTTACTGTGGAAAGGCGGGACCGCAGGAAAGTGGCAAAAAATTGTGGAGTTTGGTACTTGAAAATATTTAGATTGATAAAAAATATAGCCTAAAGTGTTCCCAAGGGCAAAGGAAGTCTATCAAAAAATATTACGGTCCAATATCTTGTGAACTTAGCAGCAAGAAGCGATGCAGCCACTATTACAGAAGCGCTTAAGGTATTAAACTTTAATGCAAATCAGTAGACAGCGAGGCGATGAATTGCCAAATTGGCGCAAAGGCATCATAAAAGAAAAAAAAAGCTAATTTGACCAAAATATATGTGCGAGAGTGGTAGCATTTTGCTGTGTCGCCCGAAAACCGGACCGTTGCCTATTGGGATATGTTAGGCCGTTCAGAATGCAATAAAAAAACATATTTTTAAGTTTCAATTGAAGGTTATTTGGTCTGACAAGACTCAATTAATTGCTTTCAATCAGATGGCCGGGCATGGTATTGGATCAAAGACCCAAATTAAGCCCATGCGCAACATGTGAGGCAAACTGTGAATCACAATGGTCGGTCAATAATAGTTTGGGGTTGTATTTCAAAAATATTGTTGGTCCGTTAGTACGCATTATGCGTAAAGAACAGTATCTGTTCTTATTTCAACAAAATTTGCAAGATGTAGTCGAAAAATGAGAGTTTCTGCTGAAAAATCACCCAAAACATACTGCATATGTTCGCAAAGACTGGATGTAAAAGCAAAAATTTGCTATTTTGAAATGACATCCACAATCCGCGGATATGAATCTCGTCGAAAATTTGCGAAATCAACTAAAGGCGCAGCTTTCTAAGTATGCAAGTCCGTCCAATGGAGTACATGAGCTATGAAAGCAAAGCAAGGATATATGGGAGGCTATACCTCCAGAAGTTTTACAGAGATAAAAATAAGGTATGCCAAATCGCACCCAGAAACTAAAACAAGCAAAAGGGTACTGAACATTGTGTTAGTAGTTCTTTTTTCTCGTTAAAATTGTTAAAAAGTTTTTAAAAATATATGAGTGCAAAACTGTAACATATGCCTTAATTTACATTTTTGCTTGCTGGTTTTATTATTGTTGTTGGATTGACTTCAAATCGCATTAAAAAACGGCCTCGAGCTCAATAAAAATTTTTGAATATATTTGTTGCAAAGATATATAAGTGATAAGTGCTCTTTCTGTATGAAACTTTGATAGCGAAACTGCAAAGAATTTAGCAACAAATTAGTTACATACTATTACTAATAGAGTGAAGTAAAGAGAGATAAATAATGTAAATATATGAGACATACTTTTTCATATCGGACACCAAATTTGGTGTCACACTTTCGATTGGCTTAAATTTTTTTTATGGGCTCTATACAGGAAATAAGCTAACACGTGTTCGAGGAATTTTTTTTTCGCTTTTTTCTTTGGAGATATGATCTGTCAAAGTTTAAATTTTTTTGTGATTCTAACTAATCATGTAATCATGTAGAGACTTCATCTTAACGTCTTTTTAAAGCTAAAGAAACTGGCTTAATATTTCTATACATAAGATGGTCAAGATCGTCCTAAAGCTAACTTAGCTATTAACAGTTGAACTTTTTGAAGTTGATTTGCATAGTGAAGACCAGTAAATTAGGGATTTAAAATTATATCATTGTAATCCTTGTTTAATTCTCTATAAAAACCGTGGTTCGAAAAAATGGGGGTTTTTCGAAAACTATTTTTAGAAAATTTTTCTTTTTGAGAATCAAAAATTGTTTGTATTTTTTTGAAAACTTATGTTGATATATTTGGAAAGATGTTTTTTTTTGCAAAAAGTAAAATTTTATTGCAAATTCCGATAGAATACCTATCCAGATATAATATTTGTATGGCAAGATTTTTCTTTAAGGCGAACAAATGTTGTTAACGAGGCGATATTCTGCCGAAATCCGCAATAAAATCTGCGTTTAGCTAATTTTAGTCCTGCAATTGCCTCGCCCATTTCTAGGAGTTCGTCGCCTTAAAGAAAAATCTTGCCATACAAATATTATATCTGGAAAGGCATTCTATCGGAATCCGCTATAAAATTTTACTTTTTGCAAAAACCCGATGTTTAACACCTTACTTAATATATCTTAACATACGTTTTCGAAACAAAATTACAAAACATTGTTTATTCTCACAAAATAAACCATCTCGACATAAAGAAAAATATTTTAAAAATAGTTCTTGAAAAACCCCCATTTGTTTGAACCACGTTTTTTATAGAGAATCAAACAAGGATTACCATGGTATAATTTTAAGTCCCTAATTTACTGGTCTTCACTATGCAAATCATGTTCAAAAAGTTCAACTGTTAATAGCTAAGTTAGCTTTAGGACGATCTTGACCATCTTATGTATAGAAATATTATAGAAATAGAAGCCTGCTTCTTTAGCTTTAAAACGACGTTAAGATGAATTATCTATTTGAAAGAGTACATGATTAGTCAGAATAACGACAAAATACCAACTTTGACGATCATATCTCCAAAGAAAAAAGCGAAAAAAAATTCCTCAGGGGTTTTCGGGGTCGCTGATTACAAATCCGATTTTCGTTTTCAAAAATTTAAAATGGCGGATCCAATTTAAAATTTGTTCGGATTCATGTGAAACTCAAAAATGTCGTTGACACTGAAAACGAGGTCAATGATTACGAATCCCATGTTCGAAAACCCCCGAGTAACTAGATTCAAGCGCATTTGATTAATTTCAGAATAGTTTGTCAGATTTGATTTTTTTTGTATTTTTTTTGTGAAAGTACCTAACTTTGAAGTGAAATTGTGAAAAAACAAATGCAGCTAGAAAGCTGCGGTTTATTGCATTGGAAAGAGTGGCCCGTTTACTATAAGAGTCCATGAAAAAGTGAAAGTTTTTCTGACCGTAGGTCCCTTTTAACTTTACGTGTCACATATACTGGGCTCGAATCGTCACATACGATATCGTACTACTCATCACATAAAAACACATTTTTTGGATTATGACATATGTGAACGTACTCTTTTTCCCATTCAGCTTATACTGCCTGACGTGTCACGTAATTTTCTTTCGTATCGTTTTTGATCCGTGAACGGATGTTACGATTCGAGCCCTGCTTTATCGAAGATTTCGTATTTCTCCAAATTACCGTTATATGGGATGTTGGCGTAGTTATTGTCCGATTTTAAAAATTTTCGGCCATTTGGTATGCTGTAGCAAGGCTAACTGTGCAAAGTTTGGAAGAAATTGGTGCAGCGGTTACCACGATATACACATGTAACCATAAGTGGGCGGGGCTACACCCATTTTCCAAAAATTTAGAATATTATTATTTTTCGTATAAAAATTGATGTAAATATCAATTTTGAGTGAATAATCTTCAGTAATTACAAAAATATCGCAGTTCTCGTATTTCTGATAATTACCGTTATATGGGAGGTAGGCGTGGTTATTATCCGATTTTGCCCATTTTCAATACCATCCGTCCTACGAAAGAAGTGCACGTACCAAGTTTCGTTAAGATATCTCAATTTTTACTCGATTTATCGTGTGCACAGACGGACTGACGGACGGACAGACGGTCACCGCCTAATCGATTTCTCTTTTCATTCTGATCATTTATGTATACATGTGTCTATATCTATCTCGATTCGTTTTGCCTGTTACAAACAACCGTAATGTGAACAAAATTATAATACCCTTGGGCACAAGTGCGGTCGGGTATAAAAATCGTATGTGTTCTTTTGCAATTAGGTTAGAATAGGGCTGCCATAATCCTGAACCCATCAGCCAGGACATCATCCAAATCAAAATCGACGATACATGTGAATATGGTGCCAATATATTCCCTATAAGGACAGTTGCTTTGGTTCTAATATTATAAACAAAGTAGTTTTGAGGCACAATCCGTAGAGCTGAATGAGTGATGATGATGAAACGCTCAAATTCTGAATTTTTTTATCATGAAAGAAAACATTTCTCGTGACGGTGACGTAACTTGGAAAAATCGGCGCCTTTAAGTGGTCTTGAATGTTTGCCTTTACACCATTAGCAAATTTCCGCATATCCTACAACGCGCTTGATGATCATTTTTGCCATTTGCCATGCCAACCTGAAGATAATTTAGGTAGGATATCTTAAGTGAAGCTATTCTAAAAGACTTACGCAACAACGACTGAAAAAACTGCTTCACTGCATGCTTCCTAGGAATGTGTTTCCTATTTACAATTTACTTAGCATTACAAATAAGATTCATTAAGCGTTTCAAGTCTAAATAAAACTATTTGATATGAACCTTGCATAAATTCCTTAAAGAAGTGTGAGTTTTATAAATTAAGAACCACTTTCAAAGAATTTCTTCAAAGTGCGTCCTACAAAAGCCCTTCTGAAAGCTCTTTTTTGAATAGCGAAAGCAGAAGTCCTTCAATTTGTGCCGCTCCATACAAAAAGTGAAAGAGAAAGGAATAACTTTCAGAAAGGCCTTTTGGATGAGATTATAGCTCCGGAAATTATCTATTGGGTAGTATATGTGTATGACCCCTCAGCAGTGTACCTGATCAGAAACTTGCACTTTTTGGCATTTGCCCGAAAAATTAAGATTTTAACCAAATAAACTAAACAGAAAGAAGGTAAACTCACCAGATGTTCAACATGTTAGAAAAAACGTTCCTTACCAATTTTCGACTACTAATGACAGAAAACTTAACCTTTTTTTCACAGTAAAAATCTGCTAAAAATTAGACTGTCTGCATTGGCCTTCATTAAAAAACCAGGACAATTTAAGTGTGGACCAGGACACCAGGATAATTTGCATAATCCAGGACCTATCCAACCAGGACGTCTGGCAGCCCCAGGTTAAAAGCACATACTGCTATAGTATAAAAATTAATTTTATTGACTTACTCTCTCACATCGAAATATCCAGAACCATCCAGTACCAAGCGAATTTCTTCGTCCGTATGCAAATGTTCGGTATAAAATATTCTCAATTTGCTTTCAAAGTCAGGCAAACACGACTTAGAACATGTTATCTAGACACATGCAAAAGAAATATAAAAAAAACCAAATTATAAAATATATGTGTGTGTAGGCAAAATTTATACATTCAATATTAAGGGCCGTTTTCTCAAGACTCTTTTAAATCTGCCCCTTAAGTACCCTTTTTGAGGCCAAAGTTTGTGTTTACCGGACAGATAAATTTTAAAAGCTACTTGAGAAAACGGCCCTCAGACTATATCTTGACATGACATTAATATTTTATCTGAATTATTTATCTAAATATTTTGTCCACATTGACATGGTTATTTTGAATATGGCAGCACATCATTAATTGCATGACATAAAATAAGAATCCTATCAAATAAAACACCTCTTTGAGGTAAAATTTTCGAGTGACGAAAGCTGAACTAGAAACACAAAATTTATGATATCAATTTCGTGACGAAAATTATACGCATTTTTTAACTGCCTTGGAAACGTAGGGAAAATCTTTTTTATTCATACGAATCGTTGCAAAAGTTCTGTTTTTTTTAACTGTGTTTCTAGCAGTAAACGGAATTTCACAACGTTCCGAATAAATAAAAAAAGATGTTCCGTACGTTTCAAAGGCAGTTAAAAAATGTGTATAATTTTCGTCACGAAATTGATATCATAAATTTTGTGTTTCTAGTTCAGCTTTCGTCACTCGAAAATTTTACCTCAAAGACGTGTTTTATTTGATATCAATTATTTTGGGGTAGCATATTCAAAATCGACGAAAATACAAACAATAATCTAATTTTCCTAATAACCAATCGTGGTACAAAGCTCAATAAAAATATTAAAAATCGAAATGTTTTATTTTTCTTAAATAAATTGCTAAAAATATTATCTAAATCTAAATTATGTATTCAAATCGATGTGTCCATTGAAACATATAATTTTTCGAATACGGAATAAAGCGAAAAAGAATGATCATATCCCTTGTATTAAAAATTTTATGAGAAATGAAAAAAACGTATCAACTTGGTACCAACTTTGGATACAATAAGCAACTGTATTCGTCTGATTGCCTCGTAGTTTAATTTTTGTTAAGATTTCTACCGGGTGTGGGGCGCACACCTGTGCTTTTTAAAGAAGTATTACATCTATCACGTGTACGGTGTTGCACTCGTGCTATTAAACTAATGATTTTTTCTCAAGTAGTTTTGCTCAGTGGAAATTTATACATTTTATGTAAGTAGTAGCGGCACATTGGGAGAACGAAATGCATTCATCCATACATATTTATGTACAACTGTAGGTAATATTGTATGCGTCTTCCCAGGTAGGTTAAGTGCGGGTGGTTAAATACTGTGTACATAACTACAATTAAAATGGTGGAAAATATTACAATTTCGGATTGTGACTGGAAAAAAACTTTAAAATACACACAAATTGTGGTTTCCAAGACATGTACTAAGTGCAGCCGCGCCACTGCATGCTTCAACTTGTCACTCGCGTGAAATTTCCCGATTTGAAGAGAATTTCGGTTTAAGTGGCAATCGGGGAATGGGTAATTAGACGAATATGTTAATTTTTAACCATTTTATCGTTTTTGGAGCGACATTTTTTCAATTTGAATCGTAATATCACTACAACAAGAGTTTTCCCAGATATAAGCAATATATACGGTGACCATCCGTTCTGTTTCTTGCAGGACCGTACTGTTTTTCAAAGGTCGGTCGTGCGTAGTTTTTCAAAACTGAAAATGTACTGATTTTTTTCACATGTCCTGCATTTGTCCCGCATTTTATTCGTTATTTTAAAATTATCGGACAATGGATGGATTTTTTCAAACAACTGTTTTTTTGTACTTTTCGTAGCTTTTCTTCAATATCTCATGAAAAAATCTCCAAATCAACGTAAGCAATAAAAATTATTAGTGCTACAGGCGACCATTTGCATTTTGTCGTCAAAGTCGAAAAAGTGAGATTTTCAATCAAATACGCAGTTTCATTTGATTATTTTTTTTTCATTATTTTAAAAATCCAATAAAGAAGATATATCATTACAGTAAACTTTGAGCCAAAGATAATGAAAATCGGATTAGAAATGTAGATGCTATGGAGCGCAATCTGCACAAATTATATATTTTTGTAAAGGGCACTTTCTAACTCGTCGTTTACGTCGATTCATGACGTCGATTTTTGACAAATAACTGCGAACAGTACAAAAAAAAAACAAAAAAAGAAGAGTATTGTTTTCGTTTTGAACGCCTCAATATTTGCCATAAAATAATCTTTTAAAGATTTTCACTTTTCGTGTAAGCTATTGTAATTATAATATGTTTACTATACTTTTATAAAAATTAAAACANATATCGATGAAGAAAACGTGATTCATTCTTAAAGTTTAAAATGTATTAAGAATTTAGAGTCATAAATACTCTTTTGATATTTTCATACTACGAAAATATATGTAGGCATATTTTTGGAAATTGTCGTTCATTTTGAATCCATATTTATGGTCACCGTAGCTATATACCAAATGAAAGCTAAGGTTCTGGGCTTGACTTGTGGAAACCTAGAATAAAATTGACTGACCAGTTTTTGAGAAAATGTCCGAAATCTCTATTTTCAGCAGCCCGATTTTTAGTTTTCAGGTGATAAAGTTATGACGTATTAATATTTTATGAACACAAAAGATAGCGTTAGATAGCCTGTTCGAAGACCCTTCTACTGATATTCACATCAACGACATGGACTGAGTAGTGCGGCCTCAGTGGTAGTTTAAAAAATTGCCGTTTTTCGAATTTCAGGCAGCAGCCACGCCCACAAAGGCATACGAATCAAGACATCCTGGAACAAAACCTTCTTATTTGTTTGTACTTTAATTCCTAAAAGTTTGAAGAAAATTAAATAAAGGTACGCACAGACGCCACATACATACCAAAGCATCTCGTAGTGGAGACACGAACCAAAACACATTTACCTCTATATCTATCCAACTAGTAGCTGGAACTTAATATATAAGATATCGTTTGAAAGATATTAGCCTATAGAATAACACTAAATATGCTGGGTGTACCCACATGCCCCCTTAAACCGGCAAAAGCAAAAAAACGTTTTTTGTTTCGCAACACTTTAGCCTAATTTTTAAGAATCAGGTTAATCATTTATGAAACTTGAATACATTTTCTGGACACACTCTGCAAGACCTTTCCAACGATATCTCAAACATGTAGATTGGACGTCTGGATAAAAACTTCCAAATCTCGCGTATATGTAAGCGAGTCATTTCAGCATGCTACTGTGGCTGCTTTCGTCACTCGCGCGCACTGCCGTGCGCTGTGATATGTCGCTTAGAATAGATTAACCCTGTGATTCAGTAATTCAGTCTCATCTCAAGTCACTAAATTTGAGATTAGCAATTAGCAAAAATAGTTTGTGACTTGAGGCGATTTGGGTATTCAGAAGGATAGAGTCACAAAAAGTTCACCAAAAATGTGTGGTGAAAGAAAACACAGACAATCAACTGACGGTGTTTATGTATGCCTTTTGCCCGCGCCGCTCAAAGAGTCGCAATGGCCGAGTGGTCAAAGCATTAGGCTGGCAGCCGCGAGGGTCCGGGTCCGGGTTTTTTTTATTTTTTTATTAGTCTTATTTTTTTTAACAATCTTTAGGTTGTAATGTTTTTAAAAAACAAAAAAATTAATTTTTTTTTTTAATACATTTGTATGATATTACAGCATTTTGGTTTATTTCCTAATGAAATCCTTGTTGAACAAATTTCCTCGCTCCAGTTTCGCGTTTTTTTAACAAAATGGAAAGAAATAAGTTTTTCCTCCATACTTCTATTTTTGTGACCGGCTCTTAGCCAGCTGACAAATTAGTGACTTATTTTTGAGACTAGAGACGTGAGACAGCGTACTGAATACCAAATAGTCTCAAAATCCAAGTTCACCACCAAAAGGCACTATTAGTGACTAGAGACCGCTTACTGAATGCCAGGGCTAATCTAGCCACAGCCACATTTTCGCAGATAAATAATTTGTCAGCTGCGGCTCGTGGTCCGTCGTTTCCAGTGTGTTCTGTAGTGCGATTCACTACGCTTTTTTAACACCACTTGTTATTGTTCATTGTTGTTCAGTCAGCCAAACGATAATTTTATCAATTTAGCTATTCAGTAAACGTTTCCCTAACAACATTCGTTAGAGCAAAATCAGCTGTTGTTGGTAACGATAACAAAGGCTGCTTATTTGACGACGTCTAGTTTGGTGTTGTTAAAAACACACAAAAAGTAAGTTCTTAAATTTTTTCGTATAGAAAAAAATGCACTGCATCGCTAGCAAAAAAAATATCAAAAATCAAAGGATTTTTCAGCAACATCAAACTTGCACTTTATTGTACTAAAATTTAATGGGCTACAAAACTGCATATTTCATTTTGTTTTATTATTCTGATAAAAAAGTTGAAGTTTTTACGAAAGTTTGTTGAATTTTGTTTAAATATTGCACAAGGTTTGAAACTAGAGTTTATACGGTATACAGTATCAAAAAAAGTAATATAAATTAAATAGCAAAAAAAAATAGTTTGTTAAAACGGTTTTAGTTACAGAATACAGTATCAAAAAAAGTAATATAAATTAAATAGCAAAAAAAAATAGTTTCTTAAAACTTGTCTGTATGTGTTCTGGTTATAATTAACCAATAGGGAGTAAAACAAATATAGAAACTGGAAGTTCAAAAGTGATAAGTTAAATTAATAAATAATTAATGTTTTCAATTTAATACGAGTACATCGTTTACTAAAAATGTATACATCATAAATGTATGCATATTTAAATATTTCTTTGTTAATCATCATGACCACGGTTGCCGTTTTGGCCGCCAGGTACCATTTTTGGTAAATTTTTGTCCAGTTTGGTACACAGGTACGTAACTGTACGTAACTGTAGGAGTTAACGTATTATTTTCCTTATTATTTAATTTTGGTTATTTTTTTTATAAAAATATAGATCATTCTTAAAAAAATGAATTCAAGTTGCCAAATTTGTGCAATATTAAAAAAAA